CACCTGAGAGCCCATGGCCTCCCCCATCTATCCACCCATCAGCACAGACTTGCCGCTCATCCTATACCCCCTCCCCCCGCCTCGGAGAGGAGGCTGCACCGCCCCCCCACATCCTCCCAGGAGCCAGCAGCGGGTGGGGAGCAGGTGACCCCCGGAGAAGACACAATTACCGCGCGTGTGGAAGGAGGGGAGCTGGCGGGAGGATAGAGACGACCGCCCCCCCGCCCCGTTCCGTGGACTTCGGTGTCCGTCATGTGAATGCGCTCCCCCCGCCCCCTCGCCCAGTAGGTCCCGTGACAGCGAAAGAACGGCGTGTTGGGGGGGAGGGGGTACCTACGCGCAGCCAGCCCCTCCCCCAGCATTCTGCCCCGGGGCGCGGGGCCTGGAACTAGACCCGAAAGGTCCAAAGGGCCCCAAATAGCTTCTCCTCAGGAAGACCAGGCATCAAAAGCTCGCCTCGTTGCTGTGGAAACCCGCGATGACGTAACGGGACGTCAAGTTGCGTTGGACCTTACGTTTGGCTCAAAGGAGACGGACCCCAGAAGCGGAGCTCCTTATGGGGGTGGGGGGACCCTCGGCCTTCCAGCGGGCACGGTCGCCAACCTGACACAGACCGCGCTCAATTCTCGGGGCCTTTGAGCCACATGGGGCGTCCACTGCGTGAAGGCCTCCACGCTCCTTCCCGGGATGGCGCACCCCTGCCCCCTCCACCTCCCCTCAAGCCCTGGGCACTCGCCGCCCCACCTCCCACCGCCCCCTCGTCTGCATCTCCAGTGGCCTTCGCGGCGGGGGTTCTAGTTCTTCCTCGCACTGGGCCTCTTTATATTTACTCTGATGGCTGCCCGACCACCGACGTGGTCTGCAGGGGTCGCCTGACGAACGCCCGCCCGCCTGGGCCAGGTGCCCAGGTGCCCAGGTGCCCCTCGCCCTCCAGGGCTGAGCCTCGCACACGCCCCGCACAGCCCTGGACGCCTCTCTGCCTGGACAGGCCTCCTCCTCTGTTCCCACCCAGCCTGCCCACCCCTGGAACCCGCTGGGGCATGAGACAGTGGTCACCTGAGGCCCTAGTGGGTACTGGCGCTGGTGGGGCTGTTACAGGGAGAGTGGGAGTGGTGATGGTTTTCTACATGGAGGTCCTTCTCATCTCTTGTTAGACCTATTCCTGAGCAGTTGCTATTTCTGATACTGTTTAAGGAATCTTTCCAAAAAAAGCATTTTCTAATTTTTTGTCACTGATTTATAGAAATATAATTGATTTCTGAATACCTTAAGTCCATCAGCTTGCTGAGCTTTTTAAAAATATGTTTATATTGATTTTAGAGAGAAAGGGAGAGATAGAAACATAGATGTTACATCAGTCGGCTGCCTCCTGCACTCCCCCTGCTGAAGACGGAGCCCACAACCCAGGCATGTGCCCTAACTGGGATTTGAACCAAAGACTTCTTGGTTCATGAGGTTTACACTCAACCACTGAGCCACACTGAACTCACTTTTTAATCTTCATAATTTACCTGTAGATTCTCTTGGGTTTTCTATTCACAAGAGATGGTTTGCCTGTGAATAATGTGTGCTTGGCCTTCTCTTGTCCAGGCCTCTCCTCTTCTTCCTTTTCCCGGCCCCACAGCGTGGCTAAGTCCCCTAGCACCATGATTTACAGAACTCATGGCAAAGGGCCTTTTGTGTCCATCTCCTACCCACCCTCCTGACTCTCCCCTCTTGTCAGGGATGCCCGCTTTCCAGGTGGCCCAGCCCTGTGTACACCACTGCTACTCTGTCCTCCCAGCTAGCATTCACCGGCGTCCTCTTCTGTAGATCTTGTTACTTCTTGCATCTTTAGGAGGGTTGCCAGTTAAAACACAGGATGCCCAGTTACATTTGAATTTCAAATAGACAACAAATAACTTTTTAGAATCAGTATGTCCTATATTGCATGGGATGTACTTATACTAAAGGTGGAAGAGGAGGAGGAGGAGGAAGAGGAGAGGAAGGAGAAAGAGAAGGAGAATCCTTTTTGTCTGAAATTCAGATTTAACCTGTATTTGCTAAGTCTGGCCACCCTACCCTCAGGCTTCTATCAGAGATTGTTTTCTGTTGACTGGAATTACTGCCTTTAGACTGTCCTCTAGGTGAGCCAGTGGAAGACTCTGTTGCCCTTGTGTGTCTGGACAGTCACTGGTCTGAGGTGCCATCCCTGCACGGTTGTGGGGCCCCGAGGGAGCCCAGGGGCCGGGAAGGGAGTTTGGCCTGGCCAGTCACAGCCCACCCCAGCTCTGGTATGAGGAGCATTGGGGCCAATCCTCTCTGAACCTTCTCTGTCCAGGACCAGCTGGGGGGACATCTGCTAGGTGGCCAGTGTGCAGTGACCCTGTGTCTGCCTCTGGACAGGACAAGGACCACCAGCCACCATGGTGAAGCTGGGCTTCAGCTTCGGGAAGTTCGGCAGAGACCTCGGGTACCAGGATGGGGTTACCATGGACAGCGTCCCTCTGATCAGCCCCCTGGATGTCAGCCAGCTCCAGCCACCATTCTCTGACCAGGTGAGTGGCCGGGGCCAGTGGGGGATCCTTCTCAGCCTGCGCTGGGAACATAGGGGTGCAAAGAGAGATTTGTTTAGATATGGCCTCCTCCAAGGTGCAGGAGGGCAGGCAGAGGAAGGGCCAGCTGGGTAGGAACCCAGGGCCACATGCAATCAGCTCCCTCATCCCCCAGAGCCACCCTGTCCTCATCTGTAAACGGGGTAACCTGGCCATAGGTGACTGAAGATTCACGCACCGTTTAGAAGACGGCACCCAGCCCATAGTGCTGCCCAGCGAGGACTCAGCAAGCAAAATTCCCACCCTGTCCTGCTGGGCACACTGTGTCTTGGATCAAGCCAGAGATGGGGTCCTGGGGACAGTGGCTGGTGGAGAGGGAGGTTTCAGTGTGAATCTGTGAGAAGCAGAGCTCAGCGTAGCCCTGCCTGATCCCATGTGAACTCCGGAGTATGAGTGACACCAAGAGTTGTCCTAACTGGGGGCGAGGTGGCCATCTGTACCCATATCTGTCAGCTATTGGCTGGGGACCATGAGGACAGCCCCCACCCCCACCCCCACCATAGGCATTGGCTGAGGGCAGTTCTCCAGCGATCTGGGCTTCCATTGCATCTACTTCGGTTCTGGACCCAGTTCTCAGTGGACACCTTAGGAAGGCCCAGTCCTTGCTCCTAGGAACACACAGAGCACGGGACCGCACCTGCCTGTGCCCTCTATGGAAGGGCCCTCAGTCCTCTGGGACCCAGAAGAGGAAATCAGGGTGACTCCCTGGAAGGGGAGGCAAGCTGTGGGGCCACTGAAGGGGTAGCGCCTGGTGGGAAGAGGTGGGACCTTCAGAGCTGAAGGCAGCCAGAGGGGCTCCACCCATGGTCTGGCCAGGCCTCATGGCTGCCACGGACCCAGCAGACTTGCAGCACCCCCTTTCCCCTGGCCTCAGCTTGTAGTCACTGGAGCCCAGGCACTGGACAGTCCTGGCAGATGATCAGGACCCACAGCACTGCTGGGCCGCTGAGCCCCTGCCCCATCCCTTCCTAGCCCTCCCAGCTCAGGGTCCTCCTGGGTCATCTCTTTGCACAGGTGGTCATCAAGACACAGACGGAATATGGACTGCCCTCCACGGAACAGCTGAAGAAGTTCCCAGACATAGAAGCCCAGAAGCTGGCCTCCACCAACCCAGAGGAAGGACGCGGGGTAACTGAACCTTTGCCACCCAGTGCTTGGGGGGGGGGGGGGGGGGGG